AGATGAAAATAAATTTAAACTTGTCTATGATGCAGTGTGTAACTTCATAGCCAACACGGGAAGATTCAGTTAGACTGTGTAGACCTATCCTTTTCTTGTTAAACTATTGGGACGGTGCTCTCTTATATGCACATATATGCATTGTTTTATTTTATTTTTTGCAAGTGACGTTACATTCACAGAAAAAAAATCCTTTATCTGTCTCTTTTACAAAGATGGTATATTGAACGATATAATGCAATCATTGACTGTGATTTTGCTCAGTATATTACTCTTTTCCTTCTTTCAAACAAATAAAAAGTTTATACTAACTGGGTGATAGCACTTTCGTCACGTTAATTTTCGTCACACATGATGACAGTGTATGGTATTTTTGGGGGACTATCATCCCACACTTTGGTCACAAAAGCGGTGAACTTTCGTAACCAACTGTGTAGCACACTTACAACTTTCGTCACACTAATAACATAACGGCAAATAACGCGTTATAAGGTGTGACGTACGTTCAGTGCACAACAATGCATTATTTATTTTCACTCCAGATCGAACTACTCCTAAACGCTACAGACGCTTGATTTTGATACTTTGACTTTAGAAAAAGACTTCCAAAAAATTTTTTATGCGTTTGGCTAAGAAATGCCGTGCCACCTACCTAAAAAGCTAAACACTTTCGTCACACAGGGGTGAACTTTCGTAATTACTGTGTAAAAAGTAGCTTAACGTTTGTCACATGTCGTAAGAAGTTTTGCTCCTAAAAACAGAACTTTCGCAATGTGACGAAAGTTCAAGTTCAGCGTGCTGTGAAACTTATAAATAACCTTTATATTTTGGTTTAAGCTTTAATCTTGAACCAAAACGAAATTGAGAAGATAAAATTCTCACTACATCATTCTGAAACTTAAACTATCAAATAATTAAAAAGAATCTTAGTAAAATCATTTTAGATTCAAAGGCGAGCTTTCGACTTTCCATTCATTTGAATGTAAAATCATTTTACTATAATTCTTTTTAATTTTTTTATATATAATATGTTTCATTAAAAACGTTAAGAAATCAAAAGGTATCAATATATTTAAGCCAGCCAAACACAAACTCAATCCTTACACGAAGCCAGAATCGAACACACGAACTTGATCTTTGCACAGGAACTGCAAAAATCAGCTTCGCTGTGCTTTCCTATAGTCTACCAAATGACTGAAGTTGTGCAATGACTCGATGTTATTTTTCAATGTATATTTTTTTGTTGTGACTTTTGTGTTTTGTTATCAGTTTAAGCTTCAATCTTGAATCAGAACGAAATCGTCACTAGAATTTTCATTATATCATGGGAATTATATATATTTTTCTATATACTTTACTCGTTAATGTACATGTATAATGCACAGCAGCAGATTTTATTTTAACACATGTAGAAGAATAGAAAATAAAGAGATATATATTTTCGATTATACAGGATGAAGAGCATTTCATTTTAATAGAACATTGAATCAGTTCAACATTTATTTGATAATTTTTAAGTGAAGTGATTTATATTTTGTGAATTTTCATGGGTTTAATATTGTTGAACTATCGTCTTTATGTGAGGAATTCTTAGCAGTATTCTTTAGGTCGAATAAATATGACTCCATTTCTAAAGTAATCACACTTGATTTAGTAATGATGACGAGGTTTGAAATATACCAAAAGTTCTATAAAAACACTAGATTGTACACTTGCATACACTCAGAAATGAGAAGTATTTACTTTAGCCAATGCGTGCTACATATTTTTGCTGGTAAAGATCATAATAATTAATTGTCATGTCAATATCGTGACTAATTATCTTGTTAGGATTAGATGATCTTATCTACTATGAAAAAGAATAATTTATATCATAAAATTGCTTAATTACCGTATGACTAATATATGACGGTATAGAGATTAATTTTTTTGTTTCATTCTTGTTCGGATAAAAGCACAAAGATAATATCTTAAGAGCGCTTTTGCGTTGTTGAATGTGAAAAGTTTAAAAAAACGTCACTTTTATTACTCATCACGTGCGAACGTTTAGGTGATTTTTTATTGCTGAGACGTTAATATTTCAAACTAGAATGTAAAGAAAATGAAATGGAATATCAGTTTTTATATCAACGCCATTCGACGTAATCAATACCAGTGATAACCAAAACGTTAAAAACTCTTTAAATATTCTTTTTAAATTTTAGATATACTAGAGAAAATTTCGCCTAAACGAATGTCCGATGCTGTACAACTAGTACTATCAGACAATGGTTCCACCACAAACGATAACACTAATTCATTGAATGTAACTTCTCACTCAAATAATGCTAGCCAAACTGAAGAAGGACTCCTGCTGGATTTACAAAGTGGCGAAATGAAAATAAGTGATCCGCCATTTTTGGAACCAACTTTATGCAAACCTGAAGGTATAAATGCACTCACTACATCAGACAGAACTTCATCCTATCCGAAAGCGTCATCTTCAACAGAACGTGAGCCTTCTAATGCGAAACAACAGTTGACACTAACTATCAGGTCTGATCATGTTCAAAATTTTTCCGATTTAGAACCAAACAATGTACTTCTAAAAAGTATTGTAAGCGACGTGAACAACGAAGAACCACATCGGTATGATAAAAGTATAGCTGGTTCTATTTTACAACCAGTATGTGACAAAAAGTGGGTAGAGGAAGATTTTTTGAACGATAAACGACTAAATTTTCTTTTTCCCTTAGTCTAATTTTTAGTTATGTGATACATGGTGATCTCAACGCAGTACAGCAAGTCCTGCAAGATCATAGAGAAGTTGTCCATATGAAAAATAGTCAAAATCAGGTAAGATTTTCTAATATGTGTTTTATTTGTAATTTTGGCTGATATTTTATTTAGACTCTGTTACATGTTGTTGTGATTTATGTACTTCCATACGTATATATCCGTCTGTTATTGATGAGTGGAGTCGATCCCTGCGCACAAGATCATGATGGATACACTGCCGCCCATTATGCTGTAGAAAAAGACAATGTTGAGATGTTAAAAGCACTCACCGTCAGATTCCATCCTCAGGTCAAAACATTCTCCGATAGACAAGTATATGAAATTCATAAAAATTGTGTTAGAGCATTGTCAATTAGAGAAAATCATGGTGGATTGATACCGTTCATGTTGGCTTGCTACAAACAATCGATTAATTGTGCACGATATATACAACGGTTACAAATGGACCAAATGGATGTTAACACACAGGTAACCGTCAGACTTTATACAAATAGCCCTCCTATATGTTCGCTTTAATTAGGATCGATTTGGCGATACATCCTTACATTATGCTGTAGCTCGAAATAACATGGACTTGACGACATTATTGATTGTCGAATTTAAGGCTGATGTGAATGGTGGTAACTCATCTCGTCCCTCTTCATTAGATATTGCTGTATTTAACCATCATTCAGAATTAAAAGAATTATTATTAGTAAATAATGCTAAATCACGTTGTCTTATAAAACGTATAATGCAGAAACGTAAAGATATGCAACACGATATCGAAGGTAAGCTGGAAGAATTAACAATCGGTGATGCACCAATTAGTACTACTCTAACGGGAGAACAACCATCGTGTTTGTCATGTGAAACTGATAGTCCAGAACCTAAAAAAAAAAAGTCAAGTGATACTGCCAACCAAGTGGTTGAACTTAATAAAACTAATGATTAAAAAAGCTCTCGAATGTGCGTTAAAATCAAAATAAAATGAACACATTAGAAAACATTTCATATGGCCAGAATGACCCCTTGAGGAGGGCGGAATGAAGACTCGAAAGTATAAAAATCAGATTCAGTATACAAAAAAGGGTTATCAAAAAAATTTTGGTGTCTCCCTGATGATGGGTTGCAGAATAATTTTGAAATAATTATAGCTGGTGTCACTGTCAATGCGATAAAGCAAGAGCAGCATGCTACATACAAAGCGTCTTTTTTATTTATTCTTCCATCATTTTAAATGTTTTAAAGCAATTTTGCACATTCATTTGATCGTTTCTCAGATATATCAGAGAAAAAAAACGAGCAAACACACACCATCTAGGCAAGTATTTCGACAACCATGCATCCGACCATCATGAAATTTTTCAGAAATATGTTTCTCGATATTGTGATACTCATATGACAAATTTAGGCTCTGGCTTGACCCTCCGTGGTTCCATATTCTTCAAGTCCAAATCAGAACAACATACTTGCTTTTTATGGGCATGCGGGTGCAATGGTTAAAATTGAATTATTAAAAAGAATTATTTTAGATTAGAACTGAAACGATCAGATGCAGTTCTCGTCGCTGATTACGAACCTGACGTTATTTTTTTAGAAAAGTTAAATTTTGGCATCAGAAATTTAAGATTCTCACACAATTCTAAGAAAGTCAAAACATTTTTTCAGCTTTATTTTCACGTTAGGTATGTTAGATACCTAAAACTAAGTCCGATGTGAAAATGAAATCCTTCAAGCAATGTTTAGTGCTCCAAACTTTGTTGGGAAAAAAGTGTGTCACAGCGTCACGACGATGAAACACAACTATTGAGGAATGGAAAACTCATTGGAAAGATTCTTTGTCAGCAATGAGTAGCTCGTTTACTCCTCTACAAACTTTGCTCGAGGCGCTTTTTATTAGCTCTTCTAAATGCGTAGCAAATTAGCTTTTAATGAAAAGAATTTCGAATTTAGGGTCTTTTTTTGTCACAGCGTCACGCCCCGAAAACCGATTCTAAAAATTCGAGTCTTTAACTGCATACCTTCATTTTTATACCAAAAGTAGAGTATGGCGAGCTACGTCGAATGGCGCAAGAACGAAGTTTCTAGCTGTTACATTTTTTAAAAAAAGCTCAAATTACTATGTCAAAAATGTCACAGAGTCACGCTTGGACAAGCCGCTGCCAAGGTTTAACACTCACCAGTAAGCGGACTTCTTCGGCAACTTGTATATCCATGTGCGATTCGAATGAGGTGATGATATAAAAGGTAACTTTTTACTGTAACGTCAAAAATTTTATCCAGATGTTTCGTTTTGTTACTTGTTGCCTTTCAGTTATTGTGCAGATCAGTCTTATGCGAATTATATATTTTTAAAGTTCAAAAAGCAAGTTTTTCGTGAATAGAAATATGATTTAGCACTTCTGGACGAAGATAATGAAGACGACTAATACATGTCGTTATTTTGGTCATTGGTCTGTTGTTGAGCAAATGTCTATTGTCAGCATTAAGATTTACGACGACATAACTTTCTATTATAGATGTTATATATCTTTATTGATTCTGATAAAAAAGGTCGGCGGTCAAAGAACTTCATGAACCTAACAATAATAAAGATGTTGTCCGTAGGTGCTCATAGAAAGGTAATTATGGATAAGAAAAACAAAAGAGTAACAATATAAAAAAAAAGTAAGAACACTAAGACAGGCTAGACGACAGAGAAAGGATGAATATCATAAAAATTACTATGTCTGCAGTTATTCAAATCTGTTCGTCTGTTGACTATACAAGAGGACTGTATCCAGTAAACATGTTAAAGTATCATGATCAAAATTTAAGCCATTCAGTAACAAAGTGTCGACTGAGAAAGTAGCCATAAAAGAAAGATTTTGTGAAAGATCTTGTCGTTGAGCATTATATAAGGAACAGTGCAAAAAATAATGCTAGATATCCTCCCTATTATTTCCGCAATTACATTTAGGTGAAACTGTATAACTACGCCGGTGAAGATGGTAATTTAGTGGTGGAAAATTTGCTTTTATCCGCATGAAGATCACTTCCTCCCGTCACGTAGAGAACTTTAGCTTTTTAGAAAAAACACCCATTGACATATACTGACTTTTTAAGGTATCGCGTAATTTAGATATTTTCATAGTTGATAAATTCGTGTCATTCAATGTAAGGTCATTCCATTCTCGCACAACAACAGTAAAAAAGTCTCTATCTGTACTACCCCCCCCCAACCCTTCACCCCCCCCCCCCCCCCCTCACATTAGAAGTCAACTAGAGAGCTGCTAATCCTTTTATGATTTTTGCGAAAATCAATAAGCCAAAATTTTAAAGTGATTCTTTACATTAATCCATCCTAATATTTCATATAACTTCATAACCTATAGATGTTGTTACTCAATAATCCAAACTATTGTTGTAGTTGGAACTATTATTGTTGTTATTGTTGTACTTGAAGTCAATGTGAGTTGGTTTATCCAGAATTTTTTGTGTAAGAAAGCGCTAAAACAAGTTCAGTTCTTGCTTCCCGTGTGCATTTCGACTTTTAGTTCGCATTTGGTCGACTATTACACGCTTCGACTATTACGGGTTATCAAAAAAATTTAAAAAAAAAGCGAAAATCAATAAGCCAAAATTTTAAAGTGATTCTTTACATTAATCCATCCTAATATTTCATATAACTTCATAACCTATAGATGTTGTTATCGACAATCCACAAATTAGAGAAAAAAACAATAATCATTTCATTGAAAGTCCATTAGTGAATTTAAAATGTGAAAGTATTGCTTATCAGCTATATGAATACTCAATAATCCAAACTATTGTTGGAAGTCAATGTGAGTTGGTTTATCCAGAATTTTTTGTGTAAGAAAGCGCTAAAACAAGTTACTGTTCAGTTCTTGCTTCCCGTGTGCATTTCGACTTTTAGTTCGCATTTGGTCCACTATTACACGCTTATAAAAATTAAAGAATTCATGCCAATGTTATAAAAAAAAGGTGTTATTTCCATATTGGAATAGCGCTGAAGACGAAAAAACCATATTCAAAACTGAGTATGGATTATTTTACTTATTGGAATTAGAAGTGCAGGGTATGTGTTTTTTGTATCTACTCTACCGTATAAACGTTTTTCATACCTTATCCTATCTACTTGATTATCTAGTTGCAATTTTAAATTAGTTTGTAGCTTTATGGCAATAATGTTTTGCAAATGAGAGATAAAAGGAGACCGTTAGCTGGACAAGTCGTATAGTAGAAATATCAAATTGTTCTATAGTATTTATCACCTTTGTCTTGTATCTCACAGACGGCCTGACTACTTGCGTAAAATTGTTTTTGCAAAATTTTGCTAAAGAATGAGCACTCAGTTTAAGAAGGTCAACTTTCGCCTACGAGCTTAATTCATTTGTGTCGTTTAACTGAATATCATGTGAGAGCCATTTACTACATCGGTTATCAAATAAAATAAAAACTAAAAATTAATGGTCAAGAAGGCAACAATAAAATTTATTATTATTAAAAGCATCTGAGTAAATGAAACATTTTCTCATATGTATTTCGTATATTCAAGAAAAAACATAAGAAAAATTAAAATGCAAAGTGTTATCTAAAAAACCTAACGTTATATCAAGTAATTCACCTAGGTGTTTTATCTCACATACATATATATATAATACCTTCAATTGAAAATTTCGAAAACTAGATTTTTACATTCAACAACAATGGCGTCCTTTGCTTCAGTAGCAGTATTCATCTTCTTAATCAATTCTATAGTAGCACTTTATGTACCAGAAGGAAGAAATTTATTGCAGTTTGGAAGCTTGATTCAGCATGTCACGAATACGTCAGCGCTAAATTACATTGGTTATGGATGTTGGTGAGTACCCAAGCAAACATCACCTATGGAAAAAATCTAGATACATTTCGTCTGGAATCGGGCGATACACGACTAGTTGCCATGTAGATTACTGGTTGGAAAAAGGACTTTTAACTAGATGTGTCTGCATGTGTAACTAGCAATAGTCAAATCGATCGATTATCGGGCGATAAATCGATATTTGAAACTAGAAGAAATCTAGCAATCCCTCGATTACTAGATTTCCATCATCGTTACCCAGTAGTTGCCATCGCGTACTCTAGATAAATCGGGCGATACTGAATTTTTTCTTTGATGCTTGAGTATATTAAAGGAAAATCACGTTGAGCTCAATCTTACATTTCATTTCGTTTAGGTGTGGCTTCGGAGGTAGTGGTCAACCAATGGACGCAACTGATGAATGCTGTAAAAATCACGATCATTGTTATGAAAAATATGATACGGGAATGTTTGGCTGCTTTCCTTATACTGCTACTTATGCCTGGAAAGTTGATGAGCACACAGGTACAGTTCAATGTGTAGATCAAGAAGGAACATGCAAATATAATGTTTGTATGTGCGATAAAACTGTTTCGGAATGTTATCATCGGAATTTAGCCACCTTCAATGTAGAACTAGTAGGAAAATGTCCAAAACAATGAAAAGTATAAAGCCTCTTCTGTCGTTAATATTTTTCTTTTTTTATAAATTACAACCAAAAATTATTTTAAATAAATGTATCAAGTAGTTTATTTGAAGAAAAATAAAGTGACGATAGTATATTATTTTACAATATATTACCTTAACTGATCCATATGTATATATATCTTTCTAGTTAAGGAGGAACGTTTCCAACAAACACATAAAATAAAATATGATTTGTGAAATCAAGTCTACCTCTGAGCTTTTTCTCTTTCCTGATACAATCGTGCAATAAACTAACAGTTCATGATACTTCAGAACAATTCGCGATTATAAAGTCTAATTCATCTAAGTATCTTTGATATGATTGGTGCAGATGCGAGGGACGATTCACCGTGGATGCACTATATGTTTTCGGAATAAATGTTCATTTCTTAACGACGAGGACTACTAACACCAGTTATTTATTATCATAGGAAATGTAGCAACTGCGCAGAACCAAGAGAAAATGGATGGAAAACGATGACGTTATAAATGAGCTCATACTAAAGCGAAACGTTTCAAAACTAAATAACATTGATTTATACGAAATGTAGTCTAATTATTCGGTTTCTCCATTGACCATAAAGTAATTCGTTCACATTAACATCTTCGATCAAAAGGATGATATTATCAAAAGATATTCATGATTCTATTATCTCGTTATTATGTTCATCCTAGTGATTAGGGATGTACCGATTAATAATCGATGTTGGGGCATTCAGGAAAACCGTTCCGACTTGGTTAAGAAAAGAACTTGATAAAAAGCAGATAAGGATCAGTTAAGAAGTTTGTAAGAATTCCGCAAGAAAAGGGCAAGGACTGAGAAAAATTTCCAGTGTTTTTGCCTTGTTTAGTTAGCCGTATAGTTCGTTAGTGTGTAAGAGGTCGCAAGGCATTCTCAAAACGACCAGTCTTAGCTATCTTGAAGAAACTTTGAAAATATTTCCAAGAAACCAGTGGTGCTCATTCAGTATATACTTCTGCAAAATAAAACGATGTCTGACTTTTGAAAAGAATTTTATAAGGAAGTGTTCCGATTTCTTATCGGCTAGGGCAGAACTGACATCTTCGTCGGTTTTTGTCGATATAATCACATCATTCGTCACAACCTCGTTGACGCACCATCAGCAAGGAATCAAACAGCGCCATGAAAGGATTGATGAACTTGACGAAAATGAACGGTTGAAAAACGTTTTGTAAATGATTTCAACAACACTCTTCTTTCTTTTGTAAATGAATGTGAATATCTTGCTATATACTAAAAAAATGTGATTATTATCCTTTTCTGAAAACGAGGCGGCTCGGCAGAATGCTTATCACATTTGAACAAAAAGGGATAGAGACATGCGGTTTTTACCGTTGGATAGAGAACATCGAGGGACGTAAGCGTATGCAAAAACTAGGCTTCCAAATAAGGTTTACCAAAACTGACTCACACTCTTAGAGTGCCACACACTTTAAGTGACACTTCAGTCATAAGGGCACACTTGAAGTGAGATATTTTCCCCCTAGTTGGTTGATCATCTGAGTTAGATAAGTAGATGTTACAAGCGCTGATTCTTTTAGCAGTCTAGCAGCTACACCAGGACTACTAGCCTTGTTTATATTAAGACACTTCAAAATATTTTCTACTTCACCAGAAGACACCATAATCGAAGCAAGCGACTTAGTATGCAATATCAGTTTGGACATGGATTTCTTATCATCTACAGATAGCACATAGACGGAAAGTATGAATTTAAAGCATCTGCCTTTTTACAGTCTTCATTTAACCGATTTCCGGTTAAGTTTTTTACAGATGGAACAGAAGAACGTTTTTTTTCTTCCTGACGAGAAGTTAATAGCACTCCATCATTGTTTTTTTGAACTCTGAGTAATGATGATTATCTGATTTAGATTCTTTACAAAGTTGTTCAAATTCTGCTGCTAACAAAAGATAGTTATGGTGACCGACAGTATATTTAATTTTAACGTATTTACGGAATGCTCGATTCCTTTTCCTTAAAAGTGTACACAACTTACCCGAAAACCAAGGCTGATCTCCACTTCTAACTGTTATTATTTGATGAGGTATCACAGTATTAGCAGCTTTTAAACTCGATTTTTCAAGTTCTTTAACCTGATCGTCAGGATTATACTTAGAATCAAAAATGTACTGAATTAAGATGTTTTGTTTCTACTTTAGATCATTCGCCAGTTTACAATAGCTTAACATTAAGATCGACGGGAAGATTTTCACCGACCAGTGTCAGTTTTCCATACGGAGCCGGTGGAAGCCCTTTACGAAAGGCATAAAAACGAACTGGTCGGAGAGAACCTTCCCTCCATCTTAATATTAAGCTATTGGAAACTAGCGAATAATCTAAAGTCAAACCAAGCCCTTATTCTGGACTTGAAATTAGTAAGAAAGATTCTTTTGTTCTCAAACTTTTCTGAATATTCTGTCAAAGCCAGAAATGATTTATCTTGGTATGAAAGTTTGTAAGGAACTTTATGATGAGTACAAATAAAATAAAGTACAGATTGACATTTTGAAGCAGTTTTTGAACCGATGTTGACTGAGTTAAGAATTTTTTAAATGTCGGTACAAATAGGCAAAATGGATTATTCCGCCTACTATCGGTGTTCGCTAGGTTTTGAATTTTCGTCAGCAAAAAAACATTGCCACAAGGTTCGCGATGGCTGTAAATCTCTATTTCAATAGTTTTGAGGTTTCTAGACCTAAGCATTGAGCAGTCCTAGGGCTTTACGGAAAATACCTGTAGCGACTCAGTACTATTTGAAATTTTTACCGTTATGAATGAGTTTTCTAGAGACCCCCTAAAAGACCCTGAGCACGTAAAATGGAAGGAACTGAATTGGCTACTGTTCTGTCCTCAGAAAGTATAGTTTGTATGGGTTGCAAGTATTTCCACCGAAAGCTATCTGATGATGGAGCTCTCTCACATCACTTTCCACTGCGCCGTCGTTCGCGAGAAAGGGGAACAAAGATGGAAATTATTGCCATCTATTGAGAAATATATACCAGTGTAACTCCGCCTATGCCGGTCCCAAGCCCGGATGCGAAAGGAGGAGGGTGGTCAGCCTGCCGAACTGGCCGGAACCAGTGACAGGTACCGGAAACTGGGGAAATTAGGCACGAAACCGTATGGAAGAAGTCAATTCAAACTCATTCGCAAATGCTACCGCATTCGGGGGAGCCGATGCGTTAATGTCGGGGACTCAGGGCACTGGTGAGAAGCGGGCTACTGGCCAAACAAAGAAAGAAAAACGAATCAAACATATTGACGAGCCCCAACGGATTTCCACGGGAGAGGCCAGGGGCATCGCCACAGATCGCCGAAGATGGAAGCAAATCGTGAATGACTCGAGTCAACCAGCGGCACCGACAGCAGCGTAAAGGGTGGGCCAGAAGTCCTGGCTCGATTTGAATAATAAATTTTTCTATAGTGAAACAAGTGGTTGTAAATTTGTCTCTATGAAGAAAAGATGTAGTAAAAAACGCTCTACAAAATGACGATTGATTGACCCCGTTAGCTCATCTAGTA